GACCCATTTCTGGACCGAACTCTTAAGGTATGGATGAATAATAAATCCGGGAATCTTTCACATAAATTATTCCAATCCCATTTCAGATTGGAAGCATCAAAAAAGTTTCAGGAATTCAATGGATGTGTAGTCTTAGTGGAAGATATGCAGAAGCTCAAATAAGGGAGAAGAAAGCGTCAGGGTATCAAGGCCACATGAGGCAGTGACTACTGGGATGTCCATCAAGAAAAAAAATGTGAAAAATGATTAAAAATTAAAAAAATAATATTTTATACTATTGCAAAAATAAGCTTAATATAATATTATTTTCGTAAGCTTATTCTACAATTTCAAGTATAAGCTTATAAATAAGGGTTCCGTTTCGATTATTCTATACTTGTTACACAAACATTTTTCAATGTTTTCTCAAGATTTTCTCAAGCTTAAGGCTTATGTTCATAAGCTTTATTTAATATTATTCTCAAGCCATTTTGGTATGTTGGGAAGTGCTAGTTTTGTCAGTGTGTATGTGTGCGTGTGTGTGGGTTGGTAGGTGTGTGTGTGTGTTCATATGTGTATGTGCGAAAGTTAAAATGTCCTTCAGAGAAGTCTCTTAATAGTAAAAACGACAGCCAGCGACATTTTTAATCTGTCTGCAGCATGCCACATAAAAATTGTTGTTCAGCTCCGCCTCCCCTCTCTCACCACATATCATCGCAGTCGTTTTTGTTTTCGTTGTCGTTTTTTTGTTTTATTATACACTGGCTCTTGTTGTTGTTACATATGTATGTTGTTTGTTTTGGTATGTAGTTCTTAGTTCCAAGCAGAATTGTTCGTGTGGCTGTGTTAACAGAGCAGCGTGTGAGTGGGTTACCATATTTCGGTATTCGGCAAATACTCGGTTACTCACTTCAAGATTCATTCATTGTTTTATCTAAATAAAGTCTGTTGAGCAATGAATGAAGACATTCGATTTTTTTCAGTAGATATTCCTTCTATGAGGATTTCCGTTTATTATTAAGGAGATCTTTTTAGATCTTTCGCAAAGTCGACACTAGATTTAAGAAAAAAGCCACATGCAGATCTCAGTTTTACTCGCTTTTACTCGCAAACGGGAGAGTTCGAAGAAGTTTGCCCTTCCACTCTTTTGTTATACCCTCCATAATAGTATGGGGGTATATTAAGTTTGTCATTCCGTTTGTAACACCTCGAAATATACATTTTAGACCCCACAAAGTATATATACTCTTGATCAGCATAAAATTCTATGCCGATTAAGCGATGTTCGTCCGTATGTGGAATTTACTTTAGCTTCCGAACGGAATGAAGTAAATTGATAAAGTTTTACTCAAATGCATATTATCAAAGACCTAAAATGGTAAAGACTGGACAAAATGCATTATGGAAAAATAGTTACTGTGAAAAATATATAGGGGCGCTGCTCACAACAGTGACATGTTAGCATAAAAATCATATGTACAGAGCAATTTTACGAATAACATTTTCTGTAAACCAAAAATTTGGACTCAAAATTGCATTCCATTGACGTTTTCAATTAATTGATAATGCATTTCCTGTTAAAATAACTTAACATTGGAGATTATGTTGTTATGATATCGTAACAACAGAGGCAAATAATCCTGGTGACAATATTTTGACTCTATCTTGTCCTATCTTTATACTTCTATGTCTTTGATATTATGTCTGCAGGACTTCTGGTATTGAAAATGAGCCATATATGTCAACGTTTTGGTATAACCCCCATATAATAGTACCTCCATATTTTCGGTATTTTGATGATTTTAGCTACATTATTCACCGAAATTTTTTCAAAAGTTCCGCATTTGAGTATTGTAATGGCTTATGACAAAAGTTACCTATGCTGGTCTACGTCGTCGTATAGACCTTAATATTACGGTATTTTTAAGATTTTAACAGATTTTTTAAGGGATTTTATTATTTTGAAAATTGCCAAATTCGTTCCAAATGGTGGAGGGTAATCAAAGTTCAGCCCGACCGAATTTACAGCCTTTTTGTTTTTTTACTCTTGATTGAAATATAAGTAAAGATCGGTTATGAGAGTTTTCTTCTTTTGGTACCAAGCTGAAGTCAGGTGCGAAAAGTGAACAATATCAGTGCACCCTTTCGTATATCTCTCTCATAAAATATCATTGACTTTTGAATATTATCGCTCATAATATGTGCACGTTGCAACCGATTTCCTTCAAACTGTGAACATCCATATTTTATATAATATTACGATTGAATTTTATTCCAACAGAGAACAAATGTTGAATAAATTTCTTGCTCGTAAGCAGGATTGCTTAGAGTGGGAGTTTTTTTCACTTTCTTCATACTTTTGTTGTGCGTGGGAGCACTTCTTAGTCACTCCTGTTCGAAAAATTAGGGAATCACTCAAAATAGAGAGAGTTTGCTCTAAGTTGCTTCTTCCTGGGTGTGCTAACATTGTTCTGTAGATGATCGTTCCACACACGATCTTTTACAATCCATCAATGGATACATTGGTTTGATATATTGTTTGATCGTAAAACTTGATATTTCGTGCGTTCGCCCACACTGAGTCTTCGTCTCTCTGTTCTTCACAGAAGTTTCTGTTGTTTATTCAGGCAGAAAATCTGACTTTCTCTTCCACAAAAATAGAATCTTACAATACATTTGACACGGCTCCACACCTTTTAACAGACATTTGTAATCCCTATTTCTTCATACATATCCGAAGAACACAGAGATTCATAAAATATTGCGGTTTTTTGCGTTTTTGGATTCGCAAAATGTTTTGTATTTGTCGTTGTTTTCGTTGTTGTCGTCGTCACCGTCAACGTCATCATTCTCATCGCTTGTACAACTTGTATGATTATTGTTGTTTTCACAACGGGTGTGGCACGTTACGTGCTCATAGTTGTTGAGCATCCGAAACAAAACGGGATATAAACACAAACGCACACAAAGACACACACACATATACACATGGACGCACACAGATCCAAACAACAAGCGATGTGAGTGTTTGGATGCATCGGTATGTGGACATGAATAAAACTAAAACGTGGGCGCAGCAGTAACACGACTAAGTCATAGTTTGAGAACATTCTCACGCACACACACACACACACACATCCACTCATAGTTGGATATAATCTAACAAAGCGAAATAAAAAACACATCCTTTCCCACAAGCTTAGCATAGTAGTATTTTAAACCACACACACACACACACCCAACCAACCACCCATCCAAATAACCACCTACACACTCACACATTTTTTGTTTAATGCACGCCAAGGCAAAACAACAAAAAGGATGCACTTGATGCATGAATGTAACAATTCCTTGTTGCCCTTCATGAAAATAACAGAGCAGCAGCTGCGGAGGCTACTGCAACGGAATCAAGCAACCACCCGCCCGCCACTATGAGCACTCGTGAGAGTGTGGAAATGTTTTAAGTATTTCTCTTGTAAAACACTTTGTTATCCATTTGACAATGTATGAAGGACCCACTTCGTTGTAGCTGTTATGGACCACCGCCCATTAACGACGACGTTCGTCGGTTGTCCTGGCCCATCGCCTATTGATCAAAGGTCAAGTCTGTGTTGGATTTCTTTTGTGTGGTTGGTGGCGGTGGTGGTGGCTGGCCCTGTGCCGTATGTCTGTGTGACCCGTTCATCTCGATAAGCGAATGGCGTGCATCATGGATGGATTCCCACTCTAATGATTGTTCTAATGATAGCGTTTAAACGCCAAGGTTATGCTTCCGTTCCGTTTCCTTGTGACGCTCTCTGAATTACAGCTAAGTATGTCCTTCTATAGTCGGGGGATAATTTCAGCTGTAATTATTATTTCTTTTCTCCGATTGGCAAAAGACCTACAAAATGTTTTAGTTTTCCTCACATTTGTGGTTTAAAAAAAAAAACGTTTTTTGTTTTGCGGGACAAAGCTAAGTGGGCATCCTTTCCAAGGTATTTAGCAAGTGCAAGGAAATAAGAATTGTCATTCTGCAAAACATGAATGTACAAATGTGTTGATAATAAAGAATGTTCCCGCTGGTCATGCAAATATCATTTGAAGTCTTTATTCCATGCAACACTATGTGTGATTGAACCAAAAATTATGTAAAATCTGGAAATATTTGTTCTGCACATAGGATGTTATGTATGGATATTCCTATTTCGGCTAACCCGATCCAGCCCATCCGTCCGTCTGTCTATGTTAATTTGTAATCTCGCTACAGGTCGCGTGGAGGCAGGTGTAGGGTCAGAGTAGAAGTCTATTGTCTTTGGATATAATCGCAATATTCTTAGGGGTTGAAATGGACTGAAACAAGTAAAATAGTATCAGTCGGTTTTGCCGACAGATATACCTCCTCCAGCCTTGAGTTGTGATTATTCAAACTGCTGATTTTCTATAGGGAAGGTTCCGAAGCAGTTGGAAAATATTGACCAATTCACATCTGAAAAATATTACAACGTGCCAGATTTGGACTATATCGACTACTTCCCAGACTTTATATGGATGTGTAAAATTTGAAGAAAGTTGGATGCTTATTTTGCTTTTTTTGAGCGGTTTGTTTTTCAATAATTTTGAACCCTATGTGGGGGAGGTGCCAAAAAATGGTCCGATTTCTACCATCTTTATAACAGATCTTGTGTTGATGAAAATATTGAGATGTACCAAGTCTGAATGAATAATGTAAATGTGGGTCCACAATTTGATTTAGCTCCCATAAATCACTACCCCCAATTTTACTCCTATGTAGGCGTTTTAACATATGATTTCAATCAATTTTTGCCGAAGATTAATATTTCAGTTTGGAATAGGGTATACAAGTATGATCCAAAGATGCAGATATATGCAGCCGAAATCTATATTTTTGTAATCTAAACACTTTTTTAGTATTATGGAAAAACGTTTGAGAGTGCCAAGGAATGCCCTCCTTTAACTATTACATATATCACTCAATTATATATTGCACATTAGTTGTTGTTTATTATATATTAACTTACCTTTTCTATGGCATAACACCCATCTGCAATAAAAATAAGTTTAAATGAAATAAAATTAAAATAATTTTCTATTTTTTAATTATTAAAATCATATCTAACAAGTAAAATACAATATACACACCCAGCCTTGAGTTGTGATTATTCAAACTGATGACTCTCTACGGGGAAGGTTCCGAAGCAGTTGGAAAATATTTTCAATTCAATTTTCATATTTCATCTAATACGGATAAAAATATTTGTATGTGCAAAATTTGAAGGAAATGGAACATTAATATCCAATTTTATGTGAAATCATAAATTCCGATAAATTAGATATTCATATCAGATTTCTGGTTAGGAGAAATATTTAAATATAGCAAGTTATAAAGAATTGCCGACTTGTTTTGAAAGTTATGACAGATATGAGTATTGAAAATTGTGACCCTTTGTAGTTGAGGTATCTGGAGGGGTTGACAAAGGTATATCATCTTCACAACAGATCATGCGTTAGCAAAAATATTTGGATGTGTTAAATTTGAAGATAATTAGTTGCTTTGACCTTACGTGGAGGAGGTACAAAAAATGGTCCCATCGTTTTAACAGATCTTGTGTTGATGGACATATTGACATGTACCAAGTCTGAATGGAATCGGATGTTACTTTCACGTTTTATGAGCTTCTTGGTTACTAAAAATTTTGGCCCTTTGTGGGGTAAGCACCGGAAGGAGTAGACCGATATATTCCATCATTACACCAGACCTTGGGTTAATAAAAATATTGTGATGTGTGTAATTTGTACAATCGGACACTTATGTACCTCACATTTTATAAGAGTTATAATTGTGGGGGAGGTACTTTATGTATTTTTCAATTTTCGCATCTGATCTAGCACTGATGGAAATATTAGGATTTGCAAGGTTGGAGCAAAATCAGATTATCCTATCTATTTCTGTGCAGTATATTGTGGGAGTGGAACGATGTTACCCATTTCCGAACTCGATCTAAGTTTGATAATAAGTTTTGGCCATATCAAATGATGTATACCGTCTGTAGCCTTATGGCTGAAGGTATAAAAATGCTTATCTATTTATGTCCTTAAATGTTGTTTTGCAACGTAAAAAAGTTTTTTTTTTTTGATAGACCCACGCCAGAAACAATGATTTTAGAAAATATATATAAAAATCCCAAAAGATCCCAAGTACACATCCTACGAATTTCACATACCTCATGAAAGACATACAACTTATTTTGTGCGTCATGTACTTGTTAAAGCAATACAATACAATATCTGAATAAAAGCTTTCCTCTCTAAATTTCAACACCAATTTAGCTCTCCTGAAACTAGTAATTTTACGATTTGAATTTAATTTTTGTAAAGAAAATCGCAATAAAAACCACAAAGGTGGCTTACGACACTTTAGTGAACATATAATGACTTAACCCATCTCCTAAAGTTATACTCCACCCAAGAAAATCAAGCTAACGGAAATACCTAGAGAAGAACACGAAATTCTTGTAACGCTATTAAAGCGAACTGAAACTAATGAGAAACGGAAATGTTCGCGTAACATTTGCATGACAGTTACCTTTGGTTGCTGCTGCTGCCGCTGGTGCTGCTAAACTTTTCCAAATACGCCAAAGTGAAATCCTCTTCAAGAAGTAAACGAACATTTCCTCAGGAAATGCTAAACTTTGTAAAAATCATCAGCAGCGGCAGCAGCAGTAAACACTTCCTACGAGGAGAGCTAACAAACCGAAATTCAAGTTAGGACAAAAAGTCGGTTGGAGAGGGAAAGCCACAGAACACCAGTTCTAGAATACACAACAAATTGTCGCAGTTAGATACAAGAAAGAACACATGACAAGCGTCACATTCGCACAAACACACACACGTTCGCACATTTAGGACGTGTCAACGAATTATGGTTTGTCCAATAATTCCAGAGACATATTTTTGATGAACTAATGTGGGGCTGTTGCACCATCAAAAACAGACGTTGCCCGCAAGTGTTCTTTGTCTGTTGTTTAGTCGTAAGAAGACGAAACGTAACACCCACACAGCCATGGGGTCCTCACCGCACGTGTACGACAGTAACGGCGAAAGACTCGTAAAATATTTGCCTACATTTACACACACATACACAGGCACATCAACGCATTCGCCTTTACACATGTCGGCTGTGTATAAACATATTTCCGTTTCCTTTTACTAAACTACACGTATCCATACATTCACACACTCACACCCTCACACACGTACATGCGTATGTTTGTATGTAAAATATTTGCCATAAGATAATGTCACATTCGCAATTTCCATTGCATAAAAACTAACAAAGCATTTTATTTAACTTAAGAACGCTGGATCCGGAGGTAAACTCTGTCATTGTATGGAGGGAAAAAGAAAGAGTGTACAGTGCGGCGAGTGGTGGGGTGCGGTGTAGGGGGACCTGGTGATGATGGCGCTGGGGTACTGACAGCAGTAACAGGATGCGGCAATAAGCCAACAGGAGTTGAAGTATATGACAATGCCTGTTTTCATTTGAACGCATGTTTGTATGTGCGCAGATATTGTAAATAATACAGTTAGAGGTGATGAAATCGGAACCGATTTTTACTTCTAAAAAAAAAAAACAGCACGCGCCACCTAAGACTGGTTACAAAATGAGGTTCCTTGCTTCATTTGCAGAGCACAATGGCCACCAAAATCTCCGGATATCAATCCGTTGGACTATTGTGTCTGGAGTATTTTGGAAAGCAAGGTTGGCACTAAAAAATACCAAAGTGTCGATCATCTCAAGCAATCGCTTCGCTGACAATGGGCCAAAATGCCGCAGAGCAACATTCGGGCAGCTTGTGACGGTTGCATTGGCCGTTTGAAGGCCATAATTCGTGCTCAAGGTGACCAATCCGAACAAATCTAAGCTTATTCTAAAATTTCATGCTATTTCCGACATTTTTGCTTTCATTCAATAAAATTTAAAAAAAAATAAAAATTATGGTGTTTGACTTTGTTGCAGTTTTTTTATCTCACCCTGTATATATATAAAGCTATATCTGAACCGATTTTCACGAAATTCGATGTACTTGCTTCTAGACTGAATTCAGTTGGATGTGCCATTTGGACTTATATTGGCCATTTGGTACACAATTAACCCGAAATCGGTTGAAGATATATGGAAACTATATCTGGATTTGAACCGATTCTCACCAATTTCAGTAGGGTTCGTCCTTGGGTCAAACAAATAGTGTTTGGAAATTTTATCTCAATCGGATAAATGCGACCTGCATTTTGATTACAAGAATGCATGGACGGACAGACTAACATGCATAAATCGACTCAGAAAGTGATTCTATGAAGATCCTCAAAACTATGGGTCTATCTCGATTATTACTATGTTACAAACAAATGCACTAGATATAATACCCGTATCGTTAACTGCTTATAGTTGACAAATCAATATAAGCAAATAAAAAATCTATAATTTTGATCGGCCGAACTTTGAATACCCTCCATCTTTTGGATAGAATTTGCAAATTTTCCCAAAAAAAAAATATTTTAAAATTCCTGCTAAAATCCTAAAAATACCGAATATAGGGCGCTACAGTTATATTGGGGCTATGCGAAGACCCAAACCTACATATGCAATTTTCTGAAGTAAGTACACATTAGGAACTCCAAGAATACGAAATTTGAAACAATTCCGTTGGCATATGTCGCTAAAAGCATCATAATACCGAATGTAGGGAAGTACAGTTATATGGGACTATTCGAAGAGGTTTACCTCCAGTGTTTTCTTATTCCGGTTTCAATTATCATACTTTGGCCGATACTGTTCTCAACCGATACGTTGTGCTCATCCACAATATGAAGTAAATTGCAGCAACAAGGACAACATCTACATTTTACAGACAGCAACAGCAATAACAACTACAACAAATGGTATTCATTGAACAATAAACTTATTCAAGGTAATACCATTTGCCACAATTGCTTTTTAAGATAATGCAAAATAAAAACAGCAACAACAACAAGAACAACAACAGCAGCATACAGCGATGCACAAGAGTGGGATAGGACAGGCAGCACCAGGACAGGCATGGATGTTGGCGACAGAGGCAACAACAGCCGCCGCTGCAGCAGCTGCTGCTGCAGCACAAAATATGCAATTCAACTGTGAGAAGGACTTCGCAATGGATCCTTTGCTACTTTGCCATACATGAAGGATAAATTATTGAATGAATTGAAAACATTCTCTTGCGAGAAATAATCAAAGCCTGTCCCAGCCTCATCCTCCTGCTCCGTTGGGAATTTTCATAGTAAATTTATGAGCATTTCGTAGAAAATTGAATCATGATTATCATTATATGCAGCACGACAATAGCAGCAGGATGATGGGTTTTCTTTCTCTCATTTTGTGTTTGCAAGAAAAATCCAATAGAGTGGAGATGAATGCAGGCGGTAGCTTTTGTTTTCTCCTTTTCATTTTTTCGAAGGTAAAGAAGCAACACTTTGTCTCTGACGTCTCGGCAAATTTGAAAATCAGGTGAAAATATTTGCCAAAAAATGTCTCAATTAATCTATCGAAGTATGAATAAATGCTTTGCTTTAGGTGTTCTACATATGAGTTCGTAATGGATACTACAGCCTAAGACAGAAAATTGTCTGTGCAGATCCACGTCTTCGTATAGCCCCCATATAACGGCACCTCCCGATATCCGGTATTTTTAAGATTTAAGCGACATTATTCACCGGAATTTTTTCAAATTTGGTATTTGAAGTAAGGGATACTACAGCCTATGACTGAAACTGTCTGTGCAGGGCCACGTTTTAGTATGGCCCCCATATAATGGTATGATCGGTAGTTCGCAATAGGCATCACCTTCTTTAGCTGCTAATTGGATCCAGAAGTCCACGTTTTACATAACTCCATATAAGTGTAATAACTTATGTTCGGAATTTAAAAAAAGAAAAACAATATTTTTAACAATTTTTTACATTTTTCAAGTTCCCTCCAACTGGTGGAGGGCTGCTGCTTCTTTTTTATTGTATATATTTTTCAAAATGATGGGTGCGTAAATCGCATCAGTACTCCGAATCCTGTGTTAATAAAAGTATTGAGATTTGAAGAAAACTATTTTTTTAAATTAACATTTTTTTAAATATCTACCCTTTTTCCCAAAGGAACCAGAAGGAATGGGTCAGTTGAGGCTTTTTTATTTATATAAATCTGATATCATGAAGTGCGATGATGTTGTTTGAAATATTATGGTTTTATTTGAAAGATTTAATCGCATTTTCAAACTTGATAGAAGTTGAAAGGAAATATTACGATGTGCAAAACACTCCCTTCAAGAAAGTATCCGATTAAAAAAATACATATGACTAAAATCGCAATTGTCGAAAACGTGAGTCCTGATATTTTACAATAATCATTACATGGTTTTCTAACAATTAATCATTTACGGATAAAAGCTTTAGCCCATGCGATTTTACCCAATATCTTGTACCTAATCGTATTTAGTTATATTTTATCACACACAATCAACCCCTCATCTTCAGTAAAGTTTCACATTTTCTTTTGCATACATTTTTTAGCACAAACTTCATGGCTTCATTGTATTGTATAAACACAAAACACCCAAAAACAACAAAACATTGCGTTGCGATAAAATAGAATAGAATTTAATTTAATTAAGGTAAATATCCCGCAGGTCCAAGCTTTTTTGAAAGGACCTAGCCCACCCCAAATTCAGTTTTATTAATGAGAAAGATGTCTACATAAATAAAACAAACACTTGCCCCGCTCTCACCACCTCACCACACCGAAGTCTGCCAATTCGGGCAACATCTTTGGCAGGAAAAAGAAATCAATGAAATTTGAATTTCCTTCGTCTTCGAGAAAATAGAAAACAAAAAAAGCAAAAATCCTGAATACGAAATTCGATACACAACTGTTGTTGTTGTTGTTGTTGTAGTTTTGTTGTATCGAATTTGATTCGCCATTGCATGAATTAAACAATAGCCATATTTATTTACTGCCGCCTGCTGCAGACCCTGCTGCCCTAGCCCCTGGCATAACAATATCAATCATGGGCAGGAGAAGAAGAAGCAGATGCATGGACTTAGGACAAGTAAAGAGAATAATCTTAGAGACATTCATAACTACACACATACAGACATTCGCCAACTACTCATATTTCGTTCGATATCATTGATTTACATTTGAGAATGCAGTTTCTTTTGTTCGCATTTTCTCCATCTCCGTCTTCTTTAGACACCAACCAAAGCTGTGGAAGAAATTCGTCCAAGTATTTGGGAGGGGGGTGTCCAAATTGGATTCAAATGACAACGATTGAAGAATCTTTGAATAGTTACTATCTTAGAATCACCATTATCCTTATCCCCATTCTTGTCAATGTCGTTGTCCTTCCATCAAGAGAGTGCAGCCATCAAGAGGAAAGAAAAAAAAACTATTGCACATTGTTGGTTGGTAACTTGGCAAAGGACCTTCAAGTGTTCCAAAGAATCCGAACTAAGAATGGTAAACGGAGGAAGAAGGAAAATGCCCTGCTGATGGCAGGATGTAAGTAAAGAACGCTTTGGCTCTGCTGCTGCTGCACTCGAGCTGATGTCGATGCTAAAATCCAAGGATAACAACATCAGCATCAATAGAGTCAACTAAATCTAAACAAGCAGCCGTACAAACAGTGGTAATGCCACCAATCAAGTCGAAATCATTGTCTTTGCGAGATTACACTCACACATGCATACATTCACTCACAAACACACACACACATGCACACACTCAACGATATCAGTTCATATTACTTGACAAAATACCAGCAGAAGATGATGGCGATGATTCACTGAAAACCTTCGAATAATTACACGCCCGCCACACCCATTCCATTTTGGCCGTTCCGGCAAAACGCTTGCAGCTGGCTGCCATTACATTGGAACTTTCCTCCTTCAGCAGCATTTCAAATTTCAAAATCCGCCATTTGGAGACGAAATAAACGAAGAACGGGCGATTATTCACTCGATTGAATTTCAAATTTAAATTTCTGTTGCTATTCTTGTTTTTTCTTCTTCTGCTTCTTCCTTTGCTGGCTATTCCTTGAAAAAGGAAAATGATGTAAGAAAGAAGAGGAAGAAGAAGAAAACTTAACGAAAAGCACAGGAAGTCTGTTGGAGGGCAGCTTGTGGCGAGGTATATATATATATTGAGGTCAATTTCAAATAAAAAAAACCCGACGAAAGAAAGAAAAGCAACATCTTTGTCTTTGGTCCACTGAGAAAACTAAATTGGTACAAAATGCTCACTCAATGCCCGCATATGAATTGTACGCTCTGGAAATATGTTTCCGTTTTTCTGGGGCGTCACGGTTTGCTGCACTTCGCCTTAGTTAGCATTTCATACACTAAAGCAATTACGACCTAATATACATACAAATTAAATTTGGAAATATTCAAGGGAGGGGAAAAGAGAATTACCAACATTTTAATTTAAAACTACATCGCATCCCAAATGGTATGGAAGAGGATGACTTTTAAGGGCATCTATTTTATGGAAGAAGTTTTGACCTGTTATGTGAAAAACATGGGATGCTATATACCTTCGTAGCCAGGTATGTCTTTCGAAAGTATTTGGGGAGGACAGCTTTTTTAAATAAAATGTTCAAAAAATATCTAAAAATTGATCATTTGGGATGAGATCTCTTGAAACTACTCACAATGACTGACAGGCAAAACAATTTTGAAATTTGACAAAGGATAACATAAACAGAAAGGTACGATATAAGCATTCCAAAAAATATTCTATTGAGAATGTTTCGAAAGTAGTTTTTTGTGACAAAAATTTCAACTTCACTATTAACTAGAGATCTTTTTGAATGCTTTTATTCCAATAGCTGAATACTGAAGTAACCAAACTGTAGGGGTGTGCCTAGGCCTGAACCTACGATGACTTTTTTGCAAAAATGTCCTCTTCCTATGCCCTGAGAATCCAAAAGTCAAATTCGAAAGTGTTCGAAAACGTATGAAGATCGGAAATGTTGGAATTGAAGGAAATTTGGAGCTTCGTAGAACTTTTAGAAAAAACATCAAAAATCCAATTGTTATGCCTTCTATCATTTATCTGTCATTTTTCCACATCAAACATTAGTTGGAGACAAGTTAAAAAGTATCTGTCGGTTTTGCCAACAGATGTATACCCTCAGCCACTGTTCATTTATTTTAATAAATTTTGACTTGCGTTAAGATTATCCAAACTGGGCCTCAATTCTTGTTCTGTGAAAATGTGAAATGAAAACTTTTATAAAGGAAAGAAATGTCAAATGAAAAAATTTATAAAGAAAATATTTTTCATTTCATATTTTCATAGAACAATAATCCAGCCCCTGTTGACCAATTATGGGTGAGGCTTCAAAGGAGTGGATCAATATCGACTACTTCATTCACCTTTACATGAGAAATGTAAAATTTTTTGGAAAATTAAGAAATGTGCTTGAGGTACCAGATAATGTGGACCGAACTATTCCTCTTCATCTATTATTCTTCTATTCTTTTGTAGGGAGGAATAGATGAATTCTATATTTACGTCAGATCTCAAGCAATCAAGTTTTAACAGAATCGCTGAATTGTTTCGCAAATTATAAGAGATTTAAATATGTCAAAACTGTCATGTGGGAAAATTGAAGAGAATCGGATGCTTATTTCGCATTTTATAAGAGTTATAATTATTTTTAAGGTTAACCCTTTGTGTGGGAGGTACATGTTGGTGTAGACCGATATAGTCCAGTTTTCGCACCTGAACTACAACTGTTACAAATATTGATATTTGCAAAGTTTGCACACAACTGGATGATCCTTTCGTGTTCTATACGGTTAATGATTTTCTGTGAAAAATTTTACCTTTTGTGAGGGAGATACCAGAAGGAGTGGACCGGTATTGCACATCTCCAAACTCGATCTATGTTTGACTATAATATTACGATGTACCCAGTTTGGATCAAATCGCATACTGCCTTCAAGAGTTATTCGCGCACCAGGCAGTCAGACAGACGGACGGACAACCCTAGATCGACTTCAAATGTCCTGAAACGGATTTGGTCCAAAGAGACTTAGGGTCTAAAACCATTAGTTCGATGAGGCACGTATCAAATAATATATAATCTCTCTTACCATATGCCTGAGGGTAAAATTATGTGTCGGTTTAGCCAGGTGTTTCCGTATGTCATCATGGCCTTGCACCATTTAAGATAGAGCTTTAAATATTATAGTTATAGGGCGTTTAATATTGAGGTATTTTGGTCCATGTTTAGATATGGCACCTGTAACGATGTATCGATGCTTTCTTAATTTAAATATTTTAAAATTTTCGTAGGTACTATATATACAGAAATGTGCGAAATTAATATTTTGCGATTTCAAACACATCTTCATCTGAATTCAAGTTTATTGTGAGTAATGATTAACGTTTTCCTACAAACATACTAAAACTCATCTGATTTCCCCCTCAATATTTGTACGAAATGTGTATTTAGTTTGTTTCGAAGTTGTACAACCACAAAATTTAATGAATTGACTACCACCTGCCTGGCAACAAATACAAAAAAAGGTTCTCAGCACATAATTCAGTCTTATCCCCAAAGAGATGACGAAATGGCTTCAGTCATTTGTTCAATGTTTGTTTATATCATAACCGTTATACTAGCCACCATCCACACTCACACCTCCATCACCGCCCCCGCACACTTGCTATTAAACGATTATCTTTGCGTTAGTGCAGGCAGCTTTTGTTGGTGTTGTTTTTACGGCACTAAAGCCACATACACACACACATATATATACATATTCTCCCAAAGATAATCCTCTCAAAGTATTAATGCCAGTTTATTATTTTTCTCTACTGATTCTCTGTCTTCTTTTTTCTTCTTCTTTTGCAGGTAATGTTGGTAAACAAATCAAAGGAGGATATTTGTTACGTTTTAAAAGTAAGTATTTATTCAGAGACTCTGCTTCACACACACACACTACCCCAGCCAGCAATAAAGTGTCCTGCCCCCACATAGGCAACGCATGTGTATGTATGGCCATGGTGGCCTTCCGAGCCATAGCATAAATTGTATTAAAAGCCAAAGTAGTAAACTTAAGTAAAAAAGTTAATAACAATAAAAGTAAATCATCTCTCTTGGAGACATGGCTGTGTTCCAGCAGCCTTGCAGCCACAGTGACCCCACCTAGGATAAGAGGCAAGTTTTGGCATGTGATGGCAACGACAGTAATGGTGGCAACACATTCCAACAACAACAATGACACGTAAAATGACACTTTCAATTCTAAAATTCCACAGCATCCGAAGAAGATTCATGAAAGTGGTAGAGGTCTAACGGAGACCGACACCAACGAACATCACAAATTAAAAAGAAGAAGAAGAAGAAGTTACACTACTCGTGGCCAGTGGTATGTTAAGCGACCAGTGTTGCCAGATGGATTCTCAGCTTTAAATTTTTTTCTTTCTTTCCTAAACCACACTTCGGACAGGGTATTATGACTTTGTGCATTTGTTTGTAACATAGAGAAGGAAGCGAGATAGACACACATTCTGAGTCGATTTATACATGCCCGTAAGTAAGTTCTTGCACTTTTTGGAATTTCAATGACTTTACCTCGAGCTTATTTTTCAATATTTGCCGAATGGAATATTGCGATATGTTCAGCTAACGAGCCATTTTTCGGCCACTGCGATGTGGGTTTCGATTAAGTCGCTTCTTTACTTTTCACATTCTGCCGATGTTCCCGTTTTCTTCCTCGACGTTGGGCTATGCTACCAGTATCACGGTAACGAGCAATGGCACGAGACACAAAATGTATTCACATTTAAATGCTGGAGTGCTCTAACGATAGCCACTTGTGGTTTTCCAGCCAAATAATAAGAAATCACACTATCACGCTTGAATTCTATCACGAATAACTTTTTTTCTGGAAAATTCTCACCAAAATGATTTTGTACGCTTGTAAACAATATAATGAGCCGTCACTGGAACAATTTGAACAGCTGTTGGGCGAGTGGCTTAGAAATGACAGCAGTCTTGGTTACAGCTTTTTCATCTCACCCTGTATATCTTTATACGATATCAAGTTTATGGTGCAATATCAGCCCAAATGGACTGAATTTTGGCAATTAGAAACCAATACCTTAAATTTGGTGTAAATCGGTTCAGATATAGGAATAGCTTCCATAAATATGTTTTGTCCGATTTGGGGTTTAAAGTCCCTCACACGCGTAATATGCACTCGACAACAATGAATATTGGAACCAGATATCAGATACAGCTCTGAAATAAGTGCATCAAATTTTGTCAAGATCGGTTCAGATTTAGATATAGCTCCTATATATATCTTCAAATGATTTCGGGTTAATTGTGCATCAAATAGCCAATATCAGTCCAAATGACCTGAATTTAGGCATATCCGACCAAATTTAGTCTAGAAGCAAGTACATCAAATTTGGAGAAAATCGGTTCACATATAGCTATAGCTCCTCTATATATATATATATGTCTCATCCGATTCCCTCACATTCGTAATATGCATTCGACAACAATGATCTTTCGTTCCAGATATCAGCTGCAGCTCAGAAATACCTTTGCCAAATTTTAGTGAGAACGGTTAAGATTTGGATATAGCTCCCATATATATCCTTTATCCGATTTAAGGTTTATTGTGCAAATAATGACTAATATCAGTTCAAATGAAGTGAATTTCCTTTCTATTTTGTGGAACTCGGCTGAGATATATCTTTTTTAATGTAATCCTTCTCGAAGTGATATCATGCACTCTATAGCAATTGTATTTAGTATAAAAGATTAAAATGTCTCCGTCAAATTTAACGACAATTGATTTAGAATTGGACATGCCTCCCATATATTTATTTCCTCTGAAACCAAATTATAACTGTTCTAAAGCCAAATGTTGATAGGTGGTATGACCTACTTCAAATAAATTCCTTTGTTACGGGAGCTCTACTGCAGTGAATATTTGCGAAAATATCCATTGTGGTGTAGGCCTCGCCCGACTTTGACTTTTTGTTATTGGTTTTAAATTCTACTTGTCTGGAAAGAGTTTACCTCAAGCAAGTACCACCGATCTCATTTAGTTGAGCTATGCTCCGTCATCTCTTCGACAAAATGTGGCAACTCTTGTCATTGAAGTTTTATATATACTTGTGCTAAGGAAGAAGGGCACACATATAGACATCATTGCCGCTGCAACTTTTCTCTCACACACACACACACGCAGTAGACCCCAAAAGAACAAACTAAAATTATGAACTACACAAAAGTCATAGCCAAAAACACTAACGCACCCATACACACAAACCGAACGCACACACTCACATAGGCAATTGTTTATGATGATGCTGTTGCTTTCACTGCGGATCTTCTCTCCTCACATGCGAAATGGTGATGATGATGACGACGAGGATTGCATGCTAGTGGGAGTAAAGGCGAATGTCGTTGGTGATAAGGAGTGAAAACGACTCAGAGTCGTAGCAACCAGCCAACACCAACAATACATTGTTCTTGTTGTTGTTGCTATTATAATGTGCCAAATCAGTACAAGTGCAATTCACACTTGTATGACACAGCAAAGTTTCGAAATTTCAGTGAATATTTGCGAAAAGAAAATCCCTCATTCTTGGCCAAAGAGATACGATGAAATCGTTTATGGAGCGTTAAAGAAAATAAGGATAGACCCAGGATGTGTGCTTGTGTAGATATGTTTAAATTGTTAAATTTAAAATGATTAGGCATTTATGTATTCGTTGGCAAGATACCGACTTCGGAAGTCAGTTTTAAGGTTTAAAATCAGACAAACTATTAACTAACTCATTCTATGCTTAAAATTGTTTGTTTTTTCACTAAATCTTTGTGTTTCTTTGGCTGATTGAAAAATTTTACTTAAAAATGAAAAAACTGTTTAATGAAACTATGCCATTTAAAAGTACAGATCAAAAGCGAATTTGATGCATCCATGGTACAATAAGGTAAAACAGTTTCGCAAAACTATTCAAATACACCTCTGATGCTGTCAAATTATTCAAAATTAGATGCAACAAGTTAATTGAATGTATTTGATATTTTCCCCTCATTATACTCTCAGCCATATGGCAAGAGAGGGTATATATTATTTGATGCGACCAAAACGTACCTCATCGAAAAACGGTTATAAACCCTACGTCTCTGTACCAAATTCGTTTCAAGACATTTGAAAACGATCTAGGCGTGTCTATCTGTCGTAGAAAGGGTATATAGCATTTGATGTAGCCAAAACGTACCTCATCGAAACAACGCTTTTATACCCTAGGTCTCTTTGGACCAAATCCATTTCATGACATTTGGAAACGATCTAGTTGTGTCCGTCCGTCTGTTTGGCTGGCTGGTGTATCCGAACACGTTCAAACTTGGTACACCGTAATAATATTGTAAAACTTAGATCGTGATCGGAGATGGACAAAATGGGTCCACTCCTTCTGGTACCTCCTACACAAAAGGTCAACATTTTCAAAGACAAATTATCAAATCCCAATATTTGTATAAGTTCTGTGTCAGGTGCGAAAAAGGAAAATATCGGCCCACTTCATCAAGTACCTCTTCCACAAAGGGTCACAATTTTAAATAATTACAACTCTTATAAAATGTGACATAGGAGTCCGATTTTCTTCACATTTCAAACACCTCAATATTTTTATTACCACAAAAGCCCTGGTGCGAAGATGGAGCACTCATTCTGGTAACCCACCCACAACGGGTCAAAATTTTGAATTATCAAAAAGCTCGTTATACGCGAATTGAGCTACCGATTCCTTTCAAACTCGGCACCTCTCAATATTTGAATAATCCAAACGATCATAAAATGCGAAATAAGTATTCGATTCATTCTAAGCTTCACACATTCCACATTTATCCATTAACACAAAATCTGGTGTGAAGATTGGTTCACTTCTTCTGGTACCTTCCCCACAAAGGGTCTAATACATATTTCGGTCCACCTATGGACCTATAGAATTGTAAGTGCTCGATTTTCTTTAAATTTTGCACATTCCAATATTTTTATCAGTATTAGGTGAAGAGGAATTCTTCGTTCCACTGTATCTGAACATTTGAACATTTTTCATTATGGGTTAAGTATTTTTAACCTGAGTTAGGGTTTTTTGGACAAAATACCTGGTTACCCGTTTATTCAACCCGAAAGTTGGGATACAAAATCCGGGTTTTATCCGGTTCTACAAAATGGGTAAAAGCATATGGTCATATGGTGGGTTTGCTTGCAACGGTTCCGGAGTAGTAGTAGTACCCCTAAAAAGTTGAAAAAGGACCCATTATGTGGTATTAAGATCTACAAACCACATTATAGCCTATATTCTTGTCTTTCCAAAAAATGTTCCAAATATGCTATCTCTTGTAGTTCCTAAGATATAAGTGATAAAAAGCATGAAATCATGATTTTCTCCACTAATATGTACCTAACCTTTATAGCTTTTTTAAGTAGCCGGGGCTTGATATTTTCTAGGTTTTAAAACTTTTATATGTAGCTGGTCATTGGCCAGGGCTTCAGATTTTCTCCTCTAGGACATGTCCAACACCGGCTACGTGATCCATAGTTCTTGTAAACTACAACTTTTCTAAACTCAATTTAAGCCTTGTTTTTTTTCTGGGGACTTTTTCGGACAAACGGTCATACTCCCCATGGGGGTTATGTCCGTTTTTGGAAGCGGACGTAGTCCTCACACTATTATGGGAGTTATGACCAAAATAAAATCAGACATAATCCCCATATTTCCAATGGGGATTAGTTTGTGAGGATTATGTCCGGCCACCAAATTATCACATATCGCTTTAAAAGTAGAACTAGAACCAAATCTGGCACCTTGTAATATTTTATCAGACTTAAGTTAGATACGAATTGGACAATATTTGCCAATCCATTCGGATTCATGGCCGTGTCGGAGTGTGTTAAACTACAAATATAATTCGCAAACATTTGCTGTACCTATGTCTTAGCTAAAATATTGGCATTTTGTTTTTTTTCTTATGCTAATCATATGCGACATCAGCCAGAAGTAAAACTTCTAGTTTTGAAATAAGACCATCCTAGAAGCTTCGTAACTGTTATAATGACCGCTGTAGCAAATGTCTTTATTTTCTCAATACCTCCCCATGGTAATTTAGTCCCCATTTATGTTCATTATTTTTTAGAAATGATCGTTAAAAAATCTTTCTGCCAAAAACCCTCATAAATACGGGGATAAAACGATATCTGAAATATGTTTGTATGTAGAAATTCGCACACACACACACACTGTCAACTACAAGCGCACATTTTTTGGTGACAGCCTAGAGTAATCCATGTTTAGTGGCACTAAAAGTGTTTGGCATTTTGGGCCCAGGAGACACTGGATTTCGTTCATTGCTTTGCGATGTTGGTTTGCCGCTGCCCAGCCAGCCATGGCTTGGCTCTGCCTGTTTGCGTCTGTCTGTCTGTCTGTAGCTTCATTACAGACAAATGACTCGAAGGATAGATGTCTGGCGGGTACGGCCGTAAGTGCTGGGAAATACGACAAACAACGATGGAAATGATGATAATAGCGATGATAATGACGACAATGAAGCCCAAATTATGAGCGGCATCAGCGACAAACAGCCGCAGCAGCAGCAGCATCAAGTCATAGCTTGACAATCCTCAAACAAATGATGCTGCGGAATTTTACAGTTGTCACATTAAAATTTCATAAAACAAAACAAAAAAAAAGAAGGCATCGAATATCGAGATGTGTGTGTCAGTCTGGTTTGGGCCGAAATGAGGAAACTTTCTTCAATATCCGAACATTCCTCTTATCAAAGCATAAAAAACATTCTCTCCCCCCACACACATACATACATAAATTTGGTGGATATATATTGAATATTTGTGTATGAAGTAGGATCCAAGGCAAAACATTTACTTGAGTGGTGCTGCCTTTGCTGCTCCCGCCTACCCGCCAGCCAGTCAGTCAGCAGTCGATGTGTGGTTAAGTGGGAAAAGTTTTCATGTTCGAATTGTTTGTTTATGGCCGGGCATAATAAAATATACAATAGTCCCATACAAATGATCGGAATAATGGTCATGACGACGACGACTACAACGAGAATGGGGAGCATGACGATGATGACATGCATGGACCCGAATGTGTTCAACAACAAGAACAACAACACCGGCACACTTTTGTTGGGGACACACTGACAGACCAGACCAAACCACTGGGATGATATTTCCGTTTCAGGCTTAATGTTAAACAGATGGTGCACCTCACAAATAATGAAATGACAACAGCAAAAGCAGCAACAACAACACTGAATTTATTGGCCCCAGCTCCTTTGGTGGTGTGCTGCTGGCCGTTATGCCAATTGAAACAATCGAGACTATTTGGGTTGTAATATTTTGTTTTTATTTTCGTTTTTCACAAATCATAATGTTTTCCGAGTCATCATCACCGCCATCGCCACCGCCATCGTCGTCATCAAAATGTGACCGTCAATAAATAATGGTAGTTTCTATTGAATTTGTGAAACAAAAACATCCATGATATGCTGCCATTGCAAACATCAGTTGCTGGAAATTGAACTTAACCCCCCATCGGGCTAATGTGTACCACTCCAAATGACATTTGAAAGTCATATCGGGAAAAGGTTCTTCTACACAAACAGCCATTCGAATATTGGCAATACCAGCCACCAACGCCACCATGTCAGCCATTTTGAGGAAAATTTGTTTTTCGTCAAAAATTATAATGATTTGGATACAATCGATGACACAGCAGCAGAGCAGATCATAACAATTGAGGGAAATGTAGACACAAACACGCATACACATACATGTGTCATGTTGGAAAACAGACATACATAATTCAAATCAATGGGTTCCAAAGATATGCCTTGTTTTCCCACTTGTCGAAATTATGTGATTGAAGCGTATCTATCGCTTTAGACACCAAAAATCCCATAAAATATTATGAAGTGTGGGCCGATGGGCCAGTATTGTACATTTCGAACCATAATAAATATCATAAAAATATTGCGACGTGACAGGTTTGGACTATATCTGCTACTTCCTTTACTTAAAAAATATTGGTATCGGCAAAATTTCAAAATGTTTACCCTCTGTGGGGGAGTGGACCAACATATCCCATCTTCACAGTAGATCGTCTGTTAGTAGAAATAATACAAATCATTTTGGTTATTCAAAATTCTGTTCCTTTGTGGGAGAAGTATCAGAAGGAATTGTCCGATCTCTACCATCCTTATAACAGATCTTGTGCTGATCGAAATATTGAGATCTGCCAAGTCTGAATGGAATCGGATGTTAATTTCGCGTTTAATGAGCTTTATGAATATTTAAAATTGTGACCCTTTGTGGGGGAGGTACAAGATGCAGAGGACCGATATATTCCACCTTCACACCAGACCTTGGGTTAATAAACATATTGAGATGTGTGTAATTTAAAGACAGTCGGGCTCTTACATCACATTTTATAAGAGTTATAATTATTCAAAATTTTGAACCTTTGGGGAGGTACTTGATGTAGTGGATCGATATTGCCCATTCCGCACCTAACCTAGCACTGATGCAAACATTAGGATTTGCAAAGTTGGAGCAATATCGGATTATCATTTCTCTTCCTGTTCTGTAAAATATTTTTTTTTTTTGAAAATTTTGACCTTTTGTGCCCATCCCCGGACTCGATCTAAATTTGATAATAATATTACGATGTTGCAAGTTTGGACCAAATCGGATACTCCCTTTGAGAGTTATCGTGCGCAGCAGCAGGCAGACAGACAGATGGACGGACATGCTAGATCGACTTCAAATGTCCTGAAACAAATTTGGTCCAAAATAACCTAGGGTCTAAAATTGTTATTTCGATGAGGCACGTTTTGGCCGTATCAAATGATATGTGCCCTCTGTAGACATGTGGCTAAGTCAAAGTTCCTGTAAAACAACAACCCAAACTCTAGACCTATTTTGAGCATTTTTGAAATGTCACAGAACAAGGGAGGCCTTAGAAAGTTATTTTTACAGGAAGCTTGCAGAGTTGTATCTGTCGACGAGCTGTAAGATAAGAAAATAATTATAGAAATGGAAATTCTAAATAATGTATCAGGGAACTCGAAAATACCAACAATAGGAGACCATCGTTGTAAAAGGGCTAAATCCTAAATCTCCAGAGAACATATTTTCCGAGGTAGTGTTTTACCCATTAAGATTTCAAAAAGTAAAGCCGATGAGGAAAAGCTGAAAAATGTTTTTTTTATCAAAAAAATTATATCAAATGAGGGTCCAATGCCAAATAAAAGACAAGTTAGAAATTGGGACTGAAACCTGAATTATCGGAAATCAGGATATACAGAATTTATCCCAAATAGATTACCAATCTTGAACATTTCCTTTTCTTTAAAAAATAAAATTAAGACCCGCGGCCAGAGTCGTATTTTCGACTGTGACTTATAAGTAGCGCTTCCGACACCGCAGCTTTACTTATATCGACTTCAGATTTTGTGCTGACTTACAAAATATATACCCCGTTTCAAGTTGGACTGTGTTCGACCATATCCAGTTGTTTTTCTATTTTATTTTCCACAAAATATTGTGTGTCAAGTGAAAGATTTACCCAACGTGACCCGTGTCATCCAATAGCTTTAATTTCCATTTTCAATTATCGCTGAATTGGTGTTAATTGAAAATCCATTTGTTCGACCATAAGAAAGAAACAACTTTTCCATTTTATTTTTTATTTTCGCAGAAATGCGATACAGCGCTGTTATCACGAATTTTAATTTAATTTTATTTGGAAATTGTTTCCATCAACAGCTGGTTTCCAACTAAATTATTTATTTATCGATTTAGTTTGGCCACAAAATCCATTTAAGATGGAGATTAGATTTATATTTGCCATAGAATATGGCGATTTGTGTGCAAAACATCGATTACCCGAAAGTGGCACATGTAAATCGCTGAAATTGTTTTTATTTTTCCAAGCGAAAATTTTTATGAAAACAAAATTATTAATTTTCAACATTTTTTTTTTATTTCGTTTGCAGAACAACTTCTCTGGAATCGCTGGGCGGAAGAGTGGGTGGTTCTGTACGATGACTCGACTATGGCTTGGTTCACAGAGCCGGGACGTTCATCGCCGGCGGGAAAAATCCTTGTCAAAGAAGCACCAGAAATGCTGGCCATCGCACACTGGACTGGCCAGATACCAAGAAGGCCACCACTACCCGAAGGCTGTAGCGTTTCACAGCTGATAGCCTTGGGCTCGAGAAGAAAACGATCTAAGGTCTATTGGATGCTGGCCAAATCCGAACAGGAAGTTAGGTAAAACAATGGGCGAGAGAAAAAAACAGCATTTCCATCAATCCACCCAACCATGTATCCTTTCAATCATTTTCACAATGCGGACATGTTCAACTGTTAATATTTCTTTGTTTTTCATTTTCATTTCTCTGTCTGCACATCTATGCCATGCGATGCGATGCCCTGCGCTTCCGTTTCACCAGTGAGTGGATCGATGCCATTACAAAAACTGTGAGTATTAATGCTGGCCACCAAAAACTATCATCAGCATTACAGCAGTGCTATGGGGAGCTATATGGGTGGCGGGATGAGGGGTTTGAGTGCTGTCCGAACAGGGCGACGCCTACACCCAGCCAGCCATCCTTCCTCTACACACACTTTTTATGGTCATAGTCATCATTATTACAAATACCAACACAATCCATCCATTCATGATGTGGATGAATGAAAGCAACAACGGCGGAGGCAACAGCAGCAGCAGCAACATAAAATCGCACAACAAAAACAAAGAGCTTTAAGAATGAATAAAAACACAATAAAGTTCCATAAAATGAGAAAACAATCTAATTACGTTAGTTGGCTCTGTTGTCGGTAGGTCGGTCGGTCGGTCGGTCGGTTCGTTGCTGTTGTTTCCCGTTGTTATCACTCGTCCGTCTGTCCGTTTGTCTGTCCGCCCAACCATCCAGCCTTGGTTATTCATTCATGTGTATTAGTATATATGTGTATGTATATCACTCTTTAAGTTTATTTTGTGTGTGAATGTGTGAGTACTGTGTGTGTGTGTTTGTGCGTAAATCTGCTTGTTTATGTGTTTATCTGTGTATTTGCTTTAATCTGTTTTCAAATCTCATCCACAGTTGCCACCACCCCCCCAGATCGAACTGGTCGTCGATAAACCCCATTTAATGAATGTCTTACGCAGACCACTGGTACGCATACGACGTAAGTGTAAATCTTTTATTCCCTTTTATCCTTGTGTCGTAACACTTTCGATTGTCTCTGCTATGGCTATGGCTGTGACTGTGACTCTGGCCATTGCCATTGTTGTTGTCGTCTAAATTAAGATTTTCCAATTGCCACATTGGTATTGTGCACGACTACATTAACACCAACACTGACACTGACACACACACATACACTCGCGCCATTGTACAAAAACCCCGACATGAAATAACACATCCGCTGCCAGGACTGCAGGGTTACATTTTAATTAGAAATCGATTCATTGGAAATGCTAAATATGTACTGCTTCCTCCTGATCGAGTGAGTATCTCAACGGAGTCCTCCGCAGCCATTGTTTGGTTTTAATAGTTCATGGAATTCTTGAGCTAAACAATATTTTCTTCACAATGACCTTAAAGATAATGATGGCTATATTTGAAATCAAAAGAAAGGAATTAAAACATGGAAACAATGCATTTTAATAGGAAAGTCCAAAAATTAAGTTCCGAATGTAGTAATTATATTCGAATCTGAAACACTATGTTCGCATCTGACAAAGACCTAAAATGGTAAAAACTAGACAAAATGCATTCTGAGCAAATGGTTTGTGGCTATACTACCTTGAATAACAGCTCATGGCAGAGGCATGTTAATATAAAAAACACAACTATAGGAAAGAATGACAAATAAAAGTTTGGGTAATCCAAAATATTGGTTTCAAAATTCTTTTCCATATACCTTCCCAAATAATTGCATACTGCCTTAGCGGTTTAAATTGCTTAACATTGGTAACTATGTTGTTACGATATCATAACAACAGAGGTAATTTTCACAGGGTTGCCATATTTTGACTCTGTCTTGTCCCATCTTTATACTTCTATGTCTTTGAATCTGAAACACTAGAAACGGTCCCATCCGATTTCAGTTATTATCATTTAATACGGCCAAAACGTGCCTCATCGAAATAAAGGTTTAAGACCCTAGGTGTCCTTGGACCAAATTCGTTTCGGGACATTTGGAGTCGATCTAGCCATGTCTGTATGTGTGTCCGTCCGTCCGTTCGTCTGTCTGTCTGGCTGGCGCGCATGATAACTCTCGAAGGGAGTATCCGATTTGGTCCATACTTTGTACATTGTAATATTATTGTCAAACTTAGATCGAGTTCGGAGATGGACAATATCGATCCACTCTGGTACCTCCCCCACAACATGTCAGCATTTTCAATGAAAATAATTTCCTGCGCAGAAAAAGAAATTATAGTCCGATTTTGCTCCAACTTTGCAAATCCCAATATTCCTATGCTAGTACTCATAAGATGTAAATAGATGCGAAAATTGACAGTATCGGTCAACTCCATTAAGTATCTCCCCCATTATAATCATAATCGGTCCACTCCTTCTGGTACCTGCCCAAAAAAGGGTTAACATTTTGAATATCCATGAAGTTCATAAAGAGAGAAACTAACATCCAATTGCATTCCGACATGGCACAGCTCAATATTTCTGTTAACACTAGATCTGTTTAAAAGATAGTAGACATCAGACCATTCCTTCTGAGATCTCCCCCACAAAAAGGTCAACGTTTTGAATATCCATGGAGCTCATAAAATGCGAAATTAACATCCGATTCCATTCGGACTTGGCTCATCTCAATATTTCTGTTAACACTAATTTTGTTTAAAAGATTGGAGAGATCGGACCATTTCTTGTGGTACCTCCCCCACTCCTTCTGGTACCTCCCTCACATAGAGTTCAAGATTTGAAAACAAAAGGTTCAAAGAAAGCAAAGCAGAATCCAACTCTCTTCAAATATGTCACATACAAACATTTTTGCTAATACAAGATCTGTTGTGAAGATGATGTATATCTGCAAACCCCTTCCGTACCTCACGAACATTTTAAAATTTTCTAAAAATTATCACCAAACCTGGCACTTTGCAATATTTATATCATATTTAAGGTCCGACACGAAGTGGACAACATTGACCCATTCCTTCGGATTGAAAAAATATGGTTTTGGAAATACGTACTCCAAGTATCAAAAAATAAGTAATGACACTACATCGGATAAACATTGTCAAATAGAGGAAAACATATGAATTTAGATTCAGGAGTCACAGTGGGCAGTTTTGGGAAATACGTGTTATATAGTGTACCAAAAGCACTAAATGTGGTAGCAGAATAAAAATCAAATGATGGGGTTGTTGGAAGAAAGGCCTGGCAACCCCAATTTTGCTTAGAAATGGATTTTAACTTTTTCTAAATGTATAAAAAAGATAAAATAGCTATAATTATTAAGCTATGATGTAATTTCAACAAATAGTTTTTAAATACATAAAATTCATAAAATTTGTCTTCTTTACAGCTGCCACCTCTAGCGAAGTCAAACAACGCAAAGCGTTATCCAACAGCAAGTCGCGCTCCTTGGCAACGCAACGGGCGTTCTACAATCAGAATCCTTTGGTAAAAAGTGATGCTGCCGTGGCGATTTTAAGCAAAAATCCTGATTCAAAAGCTGCTCTAGCTTGTGCACTGCCCTGGGGCCATGGCTGGGGATGGGCGACACTGCCCAATGGCGTGTGGAGTGGAGGTATGAGCAGAACAGAGTTTTCTTTTTCAATTGATATTAAAGTCAAAAATTGGATCATTTTGTATTTTTAGGCCTAACATGGTCCCAGTGCGAAGACACATTCACTTTGCATGCACTGCCAACCACTCACTGCACCAATTTGGTGGACACCTCCTGCAGTGGTGCCGTCTATCACACCGACATTGGAGGCTTTGATTTCCATTCATCGACAGTGGAAGATCTGGGCGGTGAAGATTTCGACTATGCCATGGACTGTGGCGATTTTATATTTTAAGCAGCCATCTGAAGCTCAAGGACCCCCACCATTTCCCCCCAGTAAAGTAGAAGAAAAAACCAAAAACAAATCCCCTCGAATACGTATGAAGTTGTTTTAAGTATTTTTAGCAGAGGAAACCGAAAATTAACAAACCCCACCCTAAACAGAAGCGTTGTTCCAAAACAAAAACAAGAAAACGCCTCGAACAGCGCGCCTTTTGAGGAAACCCTCTTTTAAACATTAAAACGGATAAACGTAACACATTATAACAAAAGAAAAAAAAAACAACAAATTTAGATGAGGAAGCCGAAGAAGAAAAAGAAAAAAATAAATTAAACAACAAAGAAAGAAATTCTGACAATAGTTGTAGAAGAAGCTGTTCACATAAACCGTTCATATGTATGTGTGTTTTGAGTGTCGTTTCAAAGCAGAATCGCTACCAGAAAAAAAAATTAGAAAAAAAGACATAAGGACTTCTTATTCAAGTCGAAATCAAACCAAACCAAATGTTCAGAATCCTAGAATCCTTTTTTATGGCCACAAATGAATAGATGTGTATGTGTGTAATTGTAATCGGAACAAAATTACAGAAACAAAAACAGGAGAAACCGAAGAAAAGAACAACCCTGAAAAAATGCCAACACTTCAATTAAGAAAAAAAAAACACACACACACAACAAAAACTAATGATAATTATATACGGGTATTTGATTTAATAGAATTTATTTAAAAACCACATCCACGAACACACGAACACACGCATACACACCCTCCACCCCCCAACAATAATCGCCAATCAATCATTCTATCTTTTGTCGAACTTTAATGGTCCATGGCTGAGATCCTGGAAGACAGAAGCTAAGCGATTTACTGGTCGATCAAGAAAACCTAATAGGAAACAAAAAATAAATACTTATTCCCTTTCATCCACCCAAGTAAAGATTCTACCATCAAATTAAGGCGATTAAGTGGAGCAATTTGTAACACAATGCTACAGACTTGACTTGTCAAGCGAATTAAAAACCTGTTTTTTTATTGTAATTCACTATTTTGCGGGGTTCCATGCGCCAATGTCCATTAAGATGGATTCGAATCTATCTAGCAAAGACACAAACAATTATTCAGTTAACAGAGAGGTACTGTTAAAGTTAACAGAGTACTGTTAAAGTTAACAGAGTTTCTAAAAATGTTTTTAGCCACAAAATAAAATTCGGGCAATATTTTTAAAACTTTTTATTATTGCTATGGAGACTACTCTTGATAAGCTTCTCAATGGTACTCATGTTGTCCTGGCAGAATTTGTCCTTGTAGGAGTATTCGTCGCAATAATTATCCTTGCCCCAGGAATATTTCTGAAATGGGTGGATTCGGCGCCATCGCGCAATATTTTTGAGACTTTTTATTAATACTATTGAGAGTGCTCTCGATAAGCTTCCCAATAATAATCATGCTGTCCCGGCAGAATTATCCTTAAAGGATCAATGATCATATAACAAAGCCAAAACAAATAACGCTGCCGGCCTTTATCGTATAACTTAATACCGTTTTATAATTTTTACTTAAATATATTTTTTATATTCTGTTAACTGCATAATGGTTTGTGTCTTTGCTCGATATATTCGAATCTATCGTAATGGACATATGCGTCAATTGCTTCCTTTGAGAAACACAGTATTTCGAACTCTGCATATCAAATTGATTGGACCCGGACATGTGTCGATATTTTTGACTTAAATTACAAAGGATAATATAGTCGCTTTCCCTTGAAAGATGTGTTTAGAAACATTAAATCAATTTCATTCAAATCCATACCAAGAATTAGGGCATATATCGGATAAGTGACCAACAAAATCATACCGGAAACCCTTTGAAATATTTTAAAAATATTTTATATATATTTTAAATATTTTTAAAGTGAAATATGCCGTATGGAACTCTTAAGCATGATTGACTAGTTAATAGTTCAAAAAGTTCATTCATTCAAAAAATTTTTGCTGTATTTTTAACTCAAGCTGTAATTTTCAAAATTGGGATATGTTTGAATTTTCTGACATTGTAGCATTGTGTAATTTTTATCCCATTGGATATTTGTTTTTTCTTTTTTAAGTTTACATACATTTAAACATTCAATCGTCTTAAAAACAATTTCCACCAATGAAGGTAGTTACGAAACTTTAGCAAACCATACTCCTCTCCATACACACCAACCACCCATCCTCAATAAAGCTCTTAAGATTCTTAAAAACAAATGGAAAAAACTAAACAAAATTTTAGAGAACTAAAAACAAGATTGATGTTTTTTAGAACGAAGTGTTATATAATAAAAGACGAAGTAAAACCAACAATAGAACAAAATAAAAAAAAGTTATTTTTGAATGAAAATCTAGATTAGTAGGCTAATGAAAACAAACAAAAACAACAACACATAATAAAGAAATTAAAAATAAAAGCTATTAACAAACAAATAAAACTGTATGTGTGGTATAATAAAGATAATAGCAAATAGACGTTACAATTTTTGTAATTAAGAAAAAATGAAATAAGACAAAAAAATTTCCCGCCCTTCCGTTTTAAAGAAAAAGAAAAAATTCACTGAATTATGAACAAAATCTGCCAAATTGCAAAACAAAAAAAATACATAAAAGTAATTCGCTCCCGCCACAGAACCCTCAGTGCAAGGACAACACAACACACACACACATTAGAAACTTTTCCAATGCAAATTTTGTACATTTTTTGTAAGGGTTTTTTACTCCGGAACAACAACAACAGCAACAACACAACACGGAAAATCCAATTTGAAGTTGTTCACCATTTTTTTTTTTTTCAATTTTGATAAACTTCCCATATTTTTCTATTCAAACGTTTTGATATAAACAAATATTCGCAATTTATTAAGAACTCACACACACTGAGACATAGAATATAAAGAAGAATAAAAAACAATTAACAATAACAAGAAAAATTAAGGACATGCTGGCAATGTTCGTTCATTTGATAACTCAACACCCAGACAGACATTAGAATTAGAATTAAGTTAAAAAAAAAAAAAATAAAATAAAATGTGGAAATTTAGAATCTGTTCTCAAAAAGATAGAGGAAATGCAAAAGTTAAATGTTAATTTGGAGGATAACGTTTGTCTTTCGTTTCAGTTTCTTTGACTTCGAAATTCTCATGTCTGACCCATTAAGCGACGTCCGTCAGACTGTCGTATTCACTTTTTTTTGCAGCGAACTCATACCCTTCGCTCTCAGCTTCTCGACAGCCCTCCTCCAAAGAAGTCAAACACTCCGAAAGCAGTTTTGCTTTCCCTTTCAAAGACTTCACTGTGTGGTTTGCTTGAATACATTCTGCATGTGTTCTTTCCTCAGAAGCCACAAATTCGGACTTGAGTTCCAGCACTTGATTTTGAGTACCAGCTCTTCATTTTGAATTTATTTTCATTCTCATCGTTCTTGAACATAAGGTCTCACTGAACCTGGCCATTCAATGACTGCAACATTTATTTTAGGCATCTACAGCAACCTTAAGGCTACATTCGAGCTTTATGTTCGTTACCCTTAGTTCCGCCATTTCGTGCTTTGTTTCCTCTAATAACTGAGCAACTTTTTAAACTAGAGCCACTGTTAAACTCTTTACATTCTTATTTCCATTTCCCACCCTAATCCGTTCATGACTCAAAGCATCGCTGGTCTCCTCCGCTAAAACCTGATTAAGGTGTAGCAGTGTACGATGCTTTCGCATCGTTTGTCGGTCATATGTTCCATACAAGAGCAAAAAATTCGAAATTTTTTAGCATGGACCTTCCTCTTATCTGTCAACATAGAAAAACATTTTCCACATACCGTCATATTGTGCCCTACTTCATTGCAGGCACAGAACAACTCCTGTAAAGGGTTTAGTCCTTTCTCGAACTTCGTCAGTGCCGATCATTAAACGGATTCGACCTCCTAGAGATATAAATCTATAGCCTCGCCCTTTCTGGCTGAAAATCTCTACTATGAAGCCCCCTCGGCAAGTGTTACACCACCACAATCCTTTTTATTTAAAATATGTCCTAAGAAGTAATTATAATATGACTAACCTAACTTACGCCTTAAAACATACGGAGAAGTCATGAACATGCAAAGCTGTCACATATAACTAACTCAGATATACCAAATGCGACAATGGAAATTACCCTTCTAATATTATTCTAAAGACATTCTACGATAAATTCAATTCTAAATTCTTGACACATCATGATATTTTGCGAGAATGCTTAGTGATATTTAAAATCAGGAAGTTCCTAAATAAAAAACGGATCTATATTGAAAACCACAGCTCTCTGAAACATTCAGAGTATCGAAAATCAGGAGGCACCATATCATGGGAGGGGCTTTAACAAAACGTGAAGCGAGTAGACAATGATTAATACCAATTTCAAAGTTCCAAGGAAGAAACAGGTGTCGTCAAATGATTTTTAATTTTATATTAATCAATAATATAAAATTTAAGTAGACTCGGATAAATACTTTGAGGTGTTTGAAATGAAATGAGTCGACTCTCACAATTTTATTTTAGAAACGATTAATGGAATTTGTATTTTAGAACTTACCACAGATTAAGCTGCATACATCCATCGTTGTCTGGTATGTTGCTTATATTTCCGAATTTTTCGATTACATCTTTCATTATATAATTTAAAAAAAAATAAAACCTGAAACCAAAGAAATACATAATTAACATAGTTTCACTTTTACATTTTCCTTATATATCAGATATGATTAAATGGTAATCAATCTCCGGTATAGTTGGAATAGCTAAAAACTGAACAGAGAAGCTTCATGAAAATAGCAAATAAAAAAGAGGACAAATGAAAATATACACATACATACATATATTTATTTATATAAAAATATTTTAGAATCTTATTAAGTGTACAAGGAAAACAAAAAAATATGAAAAAACAAAACCAAAAAAAAAAAAAAAACATTGAGTGTAAATGTACATTTTTCTGTAGACTAAAAAAGACTTAAGCAATTGTCGCCAGGACGTTAAATATTAAAAACAAGAAAACAAAAAAGAAAATTATAGAAATTTATAAATGTCTGTTTAGTAAGCATTAAATGTTGGGCTTTACCGGAAAACGTACATCACAAGTAAAAGCAAAAAAATTATTAAAAAAACAACCACAGAGGGTAATAAAAGTTATAAGTTAAAAAAAAAACAAGAAATTTGAAAAAAAAAAACCAAGAGATATAAACAAATAACACAAAAATGGAAATTAAAGGATTGTGAAATATAACAAATTCAAGAAAAAATAATTAAAAATGTAGCCAAATAGACTTAATGAATATTTTATATGTTTTCACAAGAAAAAAACTTAAAATAATATCAAGAAAAAATCCACAACCAAATTTAAAAAAAATGAAACACCCACTAAAATGAATTGATTATTTATAAAACAAATTAAAAAGAAAAAACAACATTCTCACAAAAACTAATACGCAAACAATTACTCCGACAATCAGTGTTTTCTATTAACCACAACAACAATCAGAAAAAAAACCAACAATCGTTCTCGAAAAGAAACAAAAAACATAAAATCATTTTCCATATAATTTCCCAAAACAAAAGAAAACAATTATTTAAAAAATCCCAAATTGATAAACCCAACTAAAAACAAGCGACTCCATATCGCTTTAAATGAAAAATCGAACAGGCGTAGGGACCAAACGAAATCCGAACGAGTCACCGGTAAAATGCAATCATTATTCGTACGAAATGTGCGATACATTGGCCAAAAACAACAGCAACAACATTCGCAGTTGGCCAACAAACAATTGTTAACAATTATCAATTACAAACCACGCCTACCTAATTAAGCTAAACCGAAAATTAACAAAACAAACACACAACTCGAACAAACGACAAAAAAAGACGACAAAGACGAAGAAGAAAAACCAAACAACAATTACCAATAATCAGCCTGCCTTTATTAAATGTGTTCACTGAATGAAAATTAATTCGTTTTCTTCTTTCGATAAATAAACAAAAGGCAACCAATCCTAACAAAAAAAAACACACACACGAATAAGAAGAAGAATATAATGTTGGTAAACCCAACCAAAAATCGAAATAATATTGAACTCGATCAGAATTAAAAAACAAACAAACCCGGAATATAAAAAATTTAAATTAGACAACATTTATATCACAATCATCTGATTTGGTTCTTTTACACACGACACGGGTGATGAATTTGAATAATTCTTGAAAAATTCGTATTTTGATTTTGTCACAAAAAAAAATTGAAGGGAAAAATCAAATCAATATGGAATCCAAACACATAATAATACAGACTTTCGAATCTTTAGAAATATCGTAATTTTTAATGTATAAATCAAACATTAAAAAAGTTCCGTTTTTTCCAATTTAACATGCTACCCCGATTTCCATCCAAAAATTTGTCATCCCTAAAAATGGAAACTTAAAAATGTTTGCTATTAAAAGTTTAAATTGGGTTATTTTTAAGGAATTTGGAAAATAAGAACTTAAGCAGCCTATTTTGGTAGGGTCCAAGCGACACGGGTGTTAGGTGAGTATGATTAGCGGGGTGTGTTATGCGCGCTGCTGCACCATCCCGATCTCAGTTGTGCCAAAACTCCCCAAATTGGTCGCGACAGTTCTCGTTATTCGGCTTCAATGGAATGGAAATGCTGTGACCGCGTCAGAGTGAATGCTACTCAGTCCTGCTTTATAGGCCTGTTGAATCTCTCTTATATCTCTGTACTTCTCTCTATAGATCATAAAGGTGCTTCTTTACTTGCATGGACGGAGGTTTCCTATCCACCAGATAGCGATCGAGATACTTGGGTTTATAACATCCAAGCAAGAATTGCATTGACAGCATTTTATTATGCTGCCCACCGGCAAGACCTTCGCCTCCTCATGCAGATGGTCAACCGGCATCTGGCAGGACTGAATGCGATTTCATTGCGTACCACTTACGTTGGCGGACCACAAGAGGTCAACAAGGCCTTTATCAGCTTCCCAAGTACTGCCGATCAGAGACATGAGAACCTTGTTTCTACTTCTGATTGTGTCACAGGTATCTGTGATTTCCGCGGACGACTTCATTGGGCTATTGTAATTGGTGGTCGAAATTGAAATACAATCGATCAGTATAATCAGTGATAGCCTCATGTCAACCATGTTGTTGTGCTATGCAATTTCCCGAATCCGTGTTGATGATCAGCTACTGAGAAGCACACTCTTATGCTGGTGATTAGTAATGTCTCCAGCGTCTTTGCTACTGGCGACAAATGTGATATCGGCCTGTATGAATCACCTTTACTGGCATTCTTGCCTGACTTCAGTAGAGGGACCACCCTGCCCTTATTTCAGGCATCAGGAACTAATAGGATGGCTAACGCCAAGAAACGAAGTACTCAACTCCTGGTTCATCCAGTTGCTTCAACATCACCATAGAGATTCCGTCAGGACCAAGCTCTTTGGATCACTTTGCGCCTCTGACGACATGTCAATATCTTCTAACGTAAATTGTGGTGGTACCTCCACGGCTCGGAGAGTTCGTACACGGCGTAGGATCCTCCTCTCCCCCCCTCCATCTCCTCATCCCCACACTCGTAAACAAACTACCTTTTCCATTACCGGTTAAAATTGTTGAGGCATATCTTCGGATCTGTCACTTCTACGCCATAAATTTTCAGGGTTTTACAGCGACTTTACCGTTGCCCACAATTTACACGATTCGGTGCTGATGTCGCAATGCTTCAGCCACTTTCTCCCTGACTCTGGGGTTATTAGGGTTAGTATTTTTTTTTTTTTTTTTTTTTTTTTTTGTGAAAATCCGTAACATGCACGACGGACCAATGCCTAATAAATATTAATTCATTGGTATAAGGCAAATGTGTAGAGCTAAATTTCACGCAGATAATTTAAAATGGTATCAATTCAGAGTAGTGAATGATTATCGTCTGTCTCAGATCAGCTGTTGAGTTGCCTGAAGTCCTTCCTTGCTTTAAGTCCTAGTAATAGGTCTTCTGTGGCATCGGACATGTCTAAAAATCTTACTGGCAATCGCAGCTTTCCAAAGATGACTTGGATATGAACCGCTTCTCGTGTTTGCCGTTGGAAGCCATCGTCCAAATGGTATAGCGTTGGATTTCGCGGATGAAATTGTTAGTTGCTTCAGTTTTTTAGCGTGAAAGGGGCTGACCCGCAACTATTATAGTAGTCACCATTTGTAGTGATCTTTATAACCTACAGTCAGGGTATTATGTCTTTGTACATTTGTTTGTAACAGACAAAAGGAAACGAGATAGACCCATAATTCCTTTTGATGATCAGCATAGAATCATATTCTGAGTCGATTTATGCATGTCCGACCCCCTGTCCGTCCATCTGTCCATGTAATTTTGTAAACAAAGTATGCCTGATCCAGATAATTTTTTTTACAAATAATTTGTTTGGCCCAAGGACGAAGAAGAATTTTCCACATACGAACAAATTTTTGGCACTTTTTTTTGGTAAAGTGAGCCTAGAAACAAAGATATCAAATTTGATGAAAATCGGTTCAGATACAGCTGTAGGTCCCATATATATTGTTCATTTGATTTGTTATATTTGTTCTTCACAGCCATAATATGCACTCCGCAACGAAGATATTCGAGGAAATATATTAAATGCAGCTCAAAAATACCTTTGCCAATTTTTATCAAGATCGGCAATAAATGTTCTTTACTGAAGATACGTAAAATTTCTGAATATTGAATTCACCACCCTCATGTACTTGTGTTGACAATTTCTTCACTTCATTTCTTTACATCTGACAACAATTATAGCAATACATATTCAAATATCATTTCATCATACGCTCCTCCTTATTATGTTAACTCTTCGCATAGGAATAAAATGAAAATGTTTGCGTATTAAGAACAACAACAAAAACAACAATGTCAATAATTTTAAGATGACCCTAAGTAAAAATTTATGGGAATGGAAACTGATGAACCCAAAGTATAAAAATGAAACAAAAACAAAATCCCCAAACAAAAATAAATGTAGATAGATGTATTCGTAATTTGTAATTCATTTAGAAATTAGGCAACAACAAATAGAAATTAAAAAAAAAAAAAAACAGACAATTTAAATGTAAAAACCAAAAAAAGAAAATAAATGGGTCAAAAGTTCGCCACAAATGCATTCATTTAGGTCTCCACTTGTTTTCGCTTTAACAAAAAAAAGAAAAATCGAAAAAGCCACTGCAAAACGATCACAAACCATCATTATGCAAAATTATGCCAAAGAAGACTTGAAGTAATGCCGCCTGTTAACAGGTCTTGCGGAAAATATTAAGAAAATTTGTTTGCATGGCATTGGAAAGTCGATGCCACAAAGTGTTTTACAATAGCAACACTGATGTGAAAACTATTTTCTGGAGAACCTAACACCAAGGCAAAGAGTTTTCTAAGCCAAGAGAAAAAAGAGAACACCCACAAAACATAAGAGAAATCTGAAAAACACTCAATTCTGTGGAATTTGTGTAATTATGTGTTAGCCTAGTTAGTGTTACTGTGGCCGTTGTTACATCAAGTCGTTGTCGTCATCAGTCGAAACAGCGCGATAGCTGCCGGCGCCAATAAATGTCCAAGAACTTTCTGTCGTCATAGTCTATGGAATTTTGCATGTCATTGATGTCATATTTGTTACAAATGTTTTTGCATGTGTATGTGTGCGAGAGAGAGAGAGAGAGTGAGTGATACCCAACTAAGACACACACACGCACATATTTAACCACACAAACACTGTTCAAAAGCATTAACAGTCAGTCACACACGTACCCTAAACTCAACCACCTTAGCTCAGCGAAAAAAACAAAAAAACCGAAAAAAAACTTAACCAAAGAATAATGAAATAAAAAGAACACTAAAACAATGTATACGCTTAAAGAGAAATAGAGAAAAGAAAACAAAACAAATAACAATAAGAAAACAGAAAATAACAAACCAAAAATAAAAACCGGCCGGCAGATTTAAACTACACTGTAGGACAAAATTATTGAAACTGTTGCAATTCGCGAAACAAATTGTTGGCATGCATTTGGAATTATGTAGGAGGGGATAAATGTTGCAACATGATTTCGAAAATGTTCGAGTTTTTAATAAAAATCAAAGTTAAAAATGGAAAATACGAATGATAATTATATGTATTTAAATATTTACTAGTACTTATCAGTATAGGAATTATATTGGAAAAATCTGTTACAAACTTGACACAATAAGGAGATAAAACAGATTCTTAAAACGAAATAAAGCCCTGAGGCCATGTTTTCCAATTTATTTGATATTTTTTCTTCATTTTTAGAATGAGTTAAAAGGTGTCCAACTTGAATGAAATGACTAGATTTTATATTTTATAGATTCCCCCTAAATGTATGGTTTTGAAATAAACGAATTTGAAAATATCAATAAATATATACATAAATTTGGAAGAAGTTGGGCGCACTCAGAAAAAAATGTTAATAGACCGGCAGCTGTACCATACATACCTTTTTATTGTATCATGGTTCCAAGGATCAGTACCTCCCAAAATACGTTAAACTTATACTTGTTATGGACACTTGTAATCATGGTACAAAAAGTAGGTAGAACAGCTTCGTAAATAAAATGCAATCAGCTTGTAGCTCTATCCTACCTTTTTATTGTACCATGATTGTAACTAGTTTAAATGTAGCTAAAATATTTTTTGAAGAGAATATCCCAGACTAAAAACAAGGAAACTGATGACGATTGGTGGCTCTTTTCGAATCCTAGGTATTCCCTGCCTTACCCCCCTCCCCCCCTGGTAAACATTACCATCGTTCTCCACTTATAAACAAACACTGTTTTTATTAAAAAAAAAACAATAAAGGGATTAAGCCTGACCAAACAACAAACAAGCCAACACTGTTCTACAATTTTTATCTTTATTACGTTGTTGTTGTGAGATGGTCATCTTATAATGCAGGACATTGCCGACAAATACAGTTTTTGTGGTGTATAAGTAATTAATGGCATT